CATGTCTCTCTCCCTTGAGGGAGTCCACAATCTACAAAGGCAGCTACTGTTTCTTAATTATTGTATCTCTAGCACCCAGGATGGTGCCCAGCACTTGGTAGGTGCCTGATTGGCTATTTGATCAATGCCGGTTTCCCCGACTAAACTCGAGGGCCGTGTCTGATTTGTTCTCTCTTCCAACTTGACACATGTTGGCACCCGGAGTGTTTCTGTAAACACTGCAGGAAGGTGGGGATACCGAGGCTTACACTTGGAGAAGAGTGGACGGAGGATACAGTTATGGAGGGGAGGTGGAAGTCTGACAGGTGGAAGCTGGGATACCTGTCTCTTAGAGCTAACAGGAAGTCAGGTTTTTGAGCACAGTTACTTGCTCTTTCATTGTCCTCCAATTAGAGGCTGCGTGGAGAACACATTGTGAGTGAGAGCTCTGAGTCAGGACTGCCAGGGTTAAATCCTGGTTCTGCCACTTACTGATAGTTAACGCTTCTAAGTCTGCTTCCTTATGTGCACAGTGCAGCCGACATGAGCAACCTTAGCCCGGGGCTCATGTGTGATTGAGTTCTTGCCAGTTATCCTTGTTGTTGGAGCCAGAGTGGGCTTTCTGGGTAACCCTGTCACTTAACAGGGTTGGAAAAACTGAGGCCCAGAGAGATAACAGTTAATGACAGGGCCACGTTGGGCCCCAGCCCGTGTGTCTCCAGCCCGCCTTGAGCTGAGGCTGTCCTCCCCATGCTGATGTCCCCGGCAGCGCCTAGCGCAGTGCTGGGCGCGCAGTACATGCTCAGGAAGTGCTCCACTAGTGCACGTCTGTCTCAGATGGATTTGGGTCTATTCCTCAGGTGCGTGGGGTGGGCCGCCTCCTGGAAAGGCTGTCTGTCTGTACGCAGTATGCCTTCTGCTCGGTAGTTTTTAATCAAAGCATAAAAATGTGTTCCATGTCGGCCAGAGTTACCCTGGAGAGGCAACAGCATGCAATTACTTGGACACCAGCGTCAATTTGTTTTTTGAATTTGGCAATATGGGCCCACAAAACCTAATCTACCTATGATGCTGGCTGTTTTTAATGGATTTAGCACCATTTAATTAAGCTTAAATGTAATTGCATGATGTTAAATCAGTCTCACTTAGCACCTTTAATCAACAGTCAGAAGGGGTAATAGGGGGGCAAGCCACATCCCGCTGCAGCAGATGGGAACCTGTCCCGAGGCGGTGATCAAACCATTCCAGAACTCGTGGTTCTTTCTCCACTGCGTTCACCCGGGAGGTGCCAGGGAGGCTAGGGAACCAGCGAGCAGGCCTTGGGCGGTCATGTTTGCTGCCAGCAGGCCATGTACGTGTCAGGGAATCCAGCTGCAGTGCTGTGCCTAGCAATTAAGAATTTCTTGGAAGCAGGTCAGGTTAAGAGGTTGGACTCTTTCCACCTCTGAACCTGTTGCTTGCCAAGTGGTCCCTACGCATTTAATGCGGCTACATGTGGCTTTCTGTCTGGGGGAGAAGGAGGGCAGGCACAGGCTGCTGCAGAGAGAAATGGGGTTGGCCTGGAGAGGTGGCCGCAGCAGCCCCACCTGCTGAGTGAGAAGACAGGGCCTCTGCGTGCCCACCCCGCTGGCTGGATCAGGAGCTCTGGGCCAGGGCCAGGGGGGCTTCCATTCCCCCCATTTTTCTTCACCTGAAAAATAAGGGGGATTGGGTTAGAATGATGGTACCCAAGGAATTTCCCCCCAAAGCTTAGCCCTGGGCAATTTCTTAAGAAAATAAGGGTTCTTTGGTCAATTAAGTTCAGGAAATGCTGCATAAAATAGGTCTCTTGGTGCTTTCAGGGTACGTTAACCAAGGAGTCCAGCTGTGTCTCACCTGGTGCCGTCCCTCTGGTTAGGCAAAGCCAATTAGTATGCTTTGGAACTATTGCTCCACAGACCTCGTTTTGGAGAAAAGGTGGCCTTACTGACTTTTGGAAGTTCGTTCCTACTCTGACGTTCTAATTTGTAATCGGGTTTGTTTTGGCTAGATGGATTTTAAATATCTGTAGGAGGGAAAAAAATGGCCCGGGGAAATGGTACAGTTATCTGCGTTAATTTTCATTGAACATGTAAAGTCTCATTTAAATCCTACAAAGCAGCCTCATTAGAAAATGAGTCCCACGAGCAATGTAAGGTCATTATAGAAGGTGGCACATCATGTTCTAAAGGATTCCCTTTCTGCCTGAGTTAATAAGCAATCCAGCAGGCTCCTGGCTGGGTTATCCGCTTTCCCAGGGAGAGGATTTAGGTGAGAGAGCAAAGAACAGGATTTTTTGTGGGGTGCCCTCTGTGAAAAGCAAGGAGTATCTGACTTACTGGGTGTAATAAGACCAGACCTGTGGGTGATGTGTTTATCAGGGACCCGAAGGCTAAGTGCTCTGATGGGGACTTTGGGTGAGTGAGTGTCCAGATCAGAGGCAGCTGGGTTCGCTGGGTAGAAGGCACCCTGGGCAAGTCTCTGGAAATGCGCTGCCTCACTCTGTAGAAAAGGGACTTCATCTCCAGGAATTCCTAGTTTTTCCTCCAGCTCTAAAAGGGTGGTGGTACTGCTTAACCATGTTCCAAGTGGGCTGTTCTTCTCAGGTCACAGTTCTGTGTTCTTGCCGCCTGTCCTAGCTTTCGACTTGATTGGCTTTTTTTCCCCTGAGGCAGCAAGTACTTTAAGAGTAAAACACCAAGTGGAGCCCCCGAGTGGCTCAGTCGGTTGGGCGTTCGACTTCGGCTCAGGTCATGATCTCACGGTTCGTGGGTTCGCCTGTGTCTCCCTCTCTCTCTGCGTCTCCTCCATCTTTCTCTCTCAAAAATAGTAAAAAAAAAAAAAAAAA